TTGATTTAAATTTTGGGACCCTTTTTCACAAACTAAAACTCTGAAATATTTTTAAAGATTTAATTAAAGTCTATTTCAAATAGGCCAATGCAAGCGGTGTTACAAGTAGTCAAGTGGTTGTTACGCTACTTGAAATGGGAGAAGGTTCTGCCCGGATCCCACAAGTGAACCGAAAGTTGGATAAAAATTGTTACCCCTAATATATATATATATATATATATATATATATATATAGAGAGAGAGAGAGAGAGAGACTCATACCAAGACGTTCTTCCCACGTCGAAGAACTGGAGCGGGAACATAGAGGTTACACTGGGGGCCGAAAGACTGAAAAAGACACAAAAAAACGATAAAAATTTGTTAGGTCAGCTACAACATTACAGAATCCAGTAAAGAACTAATATAATTTTACCGGCCAGAATCTTCCAATATTGAAGTCATTGACAAATGCTACCCCTTTACCCCACCCATTAAATGACATATATGTGTCTGTTACTTTGTCAACAACAAAATCACCAGTATAAAAACCCGGTTCTTTTAAATCCACTCCTGCAAAACAGCAACATAGAGTCTTGTTATTGGGCTAGTCTGTAACTTTGGGCTCGGGGTGTTACAAGTTGAACATACGCAAGCTGCTTTTTGGGGTTTTGCGAGTAGAAGCTCTAATGAAACTGGAATATGGTTTGTCAAAAATGGGATTTATTTTTTTGGGTTCGTTTAGATTGCTGAGAGGAATTGGGAGCATTTTCCACTTGAGCAGAGGTTTCCCATCTAAGTAAACAGGGGATAGTATGCCCTATAAAAGACAATGGTATACATTAGTTGAAGAAACCAAAGGGTATAAATGTCTTAAATTGGTCTATGTTGGGTTTTTTTTTTTTTTTTTTATCTTTTACCTTGCTATCAAACAAGAGTTGTCCGTAATTCAAACGACCCATGTTTTCAACCTAGAACATCAACAGACAAAAGGCGTTAACATATTATTGAAAAAAAAATAATTAGTAGTATGTGAAGTGAACTAACTGATTTACCAGAATTAACAATTTACTAGTGGAAGCACACTCAGTGTTGGGAAGATTAACAGGCTTATTTGACCATCTATTAATTGTTGCAACATATTGTGGTCTTTCTTTCTTGTTTTTAGAAAGACATGTAACATACACTTGGGCTCTATCATGCACCTGAAATTAAGAATGAGAAACACAACACTGTATGATGAAAAACACAAGGTGGCATTTTTGTGAATAACTAGAATTTCAATGGCATTAAGGAATGTGCATTTCATGTTATGTGATGTGCACTTTATCTTTACCTTTGGTATGGACAAAGTACTCCCCTTTCCATTTGCTACGTATTCAGAGGTATATAATAAGAATCCAAACATCTGAAAATGAGACATTGATGTTGAATTTTTTTTAAAATTAGAAAATTATTCTTTAAGATGATCACAATTCACAAATACCTGGCCTGCAGCCTCCATTGAAATTGGATTTAAAGATTCAATAGCTTTAATGTGCACATTAGTGTCCAGTATATCAAATAAAGATGATGATTTTTCTAACTGAATTCGACCATATCCTGTCTTCTCATTATTCTTAGGAACTGGAGGGAGAGAAGCTGCACTATACTTAGCTATAACTCTCCTCAATGCTGAAAAAATAAAAAATAATTTCTACTATTATTAATATTATTATTATTAGTGTCATTGATCTAATAAGAATGACCACAATATTACCTTTAAATTTTGCCCCATCCACATCACCAGACTCACTAATAGGAGCATCCTAGAAGAAAAGACGGGTTCCATTTGAAAGAGGGTGAATTTGTAAATTTGTATATTTGTCAATAGTTTTTATAAAAAAATGTTATAAGTAAATGATGAGGTGTCTCACATAATCATAGGATGTAAGATCAGCAAGGTAGTCGGATTCCTGAGCACCATTTGCACCATTATAAAATCCAAAGTTGGTTCCACCATGAGCCATCTGTAAGTGAGAGAACACCATATTAAATCATGATGATATCAGGTAAATTTGATTGTTAGAGGGTTTGTTTGGTATATTGGAATGGAATGATAAAGGAATGGAATGAACAAAGTAATGGAATGAGACATTCCATTATCATGTTTGTTTGGCTTGAAGAAATGGAATGAGTCATTCAAACATGTTATGATGTTATCTTTATTTACATTAAAAAAGCTAAATGAAATTGAATTGATAAATAACATATAAATATATAATGTTAAATACATTACATATAAACATATTTCATATTGTTTGAAATATAGACTATATGTATTTCAAATACTAAAAAAAATATTCATAACTTTGAAAAATGTTTACATCAATAAAAATAATTAAATAGATAAAAATACCATGACATCATAAAATATAATACTTTTAGTTATTTTTTTATTTTTATTAAAGATTATATAAATAAAAGCTATTTGCAATTATAATATAATCATTCCATTCCATCAAGGAATGAAAAAAAAAAAAAAAATTAAAACACTCCTCCCCCATGGAATGAAAATCATCCCATAAAAAGGAATCACATTATTTAAGGAATGCTCCATTCTATTCCTATGTGGCAAACAAACATGCTTTTTTTATTCCGTCGGAATGCCCCATTCCATTCCATCTTCAATTACCACATACCAAACACTATGTAAATACTTTTTATAGCATACAATCATACATAAAGCACAGCAGAGCCATTCCTAGATAAAATTTTTTCAAGGGCCGATGCTGTAGAAGTTGCATCAGTTTTAGCAATATTCTCTCCCCAATGTGTAAGCCAACCAGTGTAAAATTCACTGAAATATCATCTTATCAGCACCATAAAATGAAGTGATTCAAGGATAATCCATAGGTATTAAAGTAAGATACCTACGCAGAAAGAGGTGGTGATTTTCCTGGTGTATTAAACTCCTTTTGCAGATTAAAAATAGGCCAAGGATCCTCTCCAGTTGAAAAATCAACAGCTACAATTAATCTTTCCAATATTAGAAGCCTACAGAATTGATAAAAAGATGATTATTACGCATTGATGAAATGTTATCATACCTGAAAAGACAGCATCTCCATTTATTGTTCCTTTAGTGAGAGTATCTCTAGTGCCTCCATCTGTAGTATATCTGTAAAAATCAAGAAAAAAGGGTGGTATTACTTTTTAAACTCAAAAATCAAAATATCTTCCTACCCCTCAAAGTGTATAATAAATGTCAAGTGATGAATAAAGTTTGATGCTAAGAAACAAAAGGGTATTTATTACCATATTACATCAAACTTACAATATCAGGTCATCCCCGAGATGTGATCTTGCTAAGTTGACCAGATGATGCAGATAGTCTTTGTCAACTCCATAGGAACCAAATTCATTCTCAATCTGCAATCACAATCTACACATGATAAACTCACAATGCAACATATCTTTTAACAATCTGTGAGCTTATAGAAATTCAGTATTACCCACCTGAACCATAATTATAGGCCCTCCTTTGTGGTAAAGAAGAGGAGCAATTTTAGGAAGTAGTACCCCCCACCACTTATCAACCTGCAACAACTCATATAAATTCACCAATGACACAGAGATGTGAGATGTAAGTGTAACTGTGTAAATGTATAAACTCAAAAAATTTATGTAGTTAGCATAGACACCAACCACTTTGCAAGAAACACTACTGGATATGAATGAAGAACAAATTTTCCTTCGTAAACTCATTAAAAAGCATACATAGAGTTTATGTAGGAGCTAAGAAAAGTTTGTTTTTTTATAGATAATTTATCATGTAATATCTCAAATGTGACTCATGTTACATAAAATGAAAACAAGGATCAAAATAGAAAAGAAGATTTACCAATGAGAGGTATGCTGGATCTGATGATCTCAGTCTGATGGCTGGTTTTTTAGTAAGTAACCAAGCAGGGAAACCACCAAGATCCCATTCTGCAACAAAAAGTGGTCTTCAATGGAGAGTGTTTATCAAGAAATAGCAAATGGATAGAAGCAAATTAATTGATACCCACAGTTTAGATGTAAAGGAAATCTTGATTGATACTAAAAGAGGGAATTAAAACATTCAGATTCAGTTACTGTTTTGACCTGCACATATGTAAGGTCCAGCCCTTAGCATGACCAGCAAATCTAACTTCTGACACAGCTCAAGAAAAGAAACTATATCTGCAATAGCATTGAAATCTAGTTGACCCTCTTTTGGTTCATGCAGATTCCATGGAACATAAGTTTGAATTGCATTCAAGCCCAAAGCCTTTGCTCTTGTTAGCCTATCTTCCCAATACTGCACCCAAAGAATGACAGAAGTCAGATCATGTAAATATCTATAGAAAAGTCCATTCATCCAAATACGGAAGAGGAGGTTCTAAAAACAACCATGATTGATGATTACATGTGTGTGTTATATAGCTGTAAATCCAGATGATAGTTAGTGCTTCCAAATGTATCCTCTAATATCAGGTACAGTTATACAGTGCTAAACCAACAGCTATAAAAGTAATGGCATATTTGAGTTGTAAAACGGTGATGTATCTAGTTTTCTTTTGGGACAGATCAATGGCAGAATGTAGTGATAGACATGTAACTTTGGGATAAAATGAGTATTTGTACTAGCATTCAGGCTTCAATTGGTTATGGAGTACCCAGATGATCAAAATATCTATTGAACAGATAGTAGTAGTGTGATTCAACGCGAACTTCAAGGGGACAAATACGAGACTGTACCTCAGGTAGAGTACGAAAATAATGCAAGTCCCCGCCGATGATTCTAAAAGGCTCTCCATCTTTCCAGAACATATCATCAGCAATTTCAAACTTTCGAGCATTAACAACCTGCTGATTTTATAATCAGCAGTTAGCAAATCAAAATGATCACTAGCAAAACATGAAAATTAGAAGACGTTTTACTAGATTTGGATAACTCACTTGATGATGATGATGATTGTGGGGTTTGAGCGAATTCGAGAGAGGGGAAGGTAGAGGAGCGAAAACAGTAGAGAAAGCAACGAGACATAGGAGAAGAACGATAATATTCGTCGACTTCAAGCTCCGCCCTTTCGCCATTGCCGTTAACTAGATGTCGTCGCCGTCGCTATCGGCGTTTATTGTCTTTCACCTTCACTAGGCTTTCAAGTTTTCCGACCAGTTGACTCTCTTAAGCTAAGTCAGTCAATAGAGAACCAGGAAATTAGAATATTTATTCATATGTCCCTAACCTATCACTTAAATGATAGTTTGGTCCCTTGATCTTTGAATACTTGTAACACAATTGTTGTTTTTCATAATAGACAAAATTTCAGGTCTTAATTATTTTCTATTTTTCTCTAATATAGTCCTTATGAAACTAATTTTTTTTTTGCATTGATAGTCCATTTGGAACAAACATTGCACGTAAACAACCCTTACGATGGATGTCTGTTTACTTGTGTCGTTATAATGCCCCATGTGCCTTGTACATGAGGCCATTTTCGTCATTTCATATAGGGGTTACACCTATTACTTATTTAATCGATCGCCTCTTTTTTCAAATATGTATGTGAAGCTGAAAACTCATGTGAACCAGATGAAGCTCAAGAAATCAAAGTCGAGGAATAACGATTTGCCCTTGTGGAAGCAGCGATCTTGTCATTGTCACATCTTGGTCAAATTGTAACCATGGAAGATGGTTTTGGTCCTGTGTTCGAAATGGGAGCATGTGTGGTTGGATTGGGTGGTACGATGAACCCGTGTGCCCTAGATTAGTGGAAGTGATACATGGGTTACTGAAGTCTATGAATAAACTCCAACAATCCCTTCAAGAAGCTAGCATGCAAGCATGAATGTATAAGTTCATCCTTTTTGTCAATTCGATTTTTGTAATTCGCTACCAAAAGAAGGGTTGAGATGATTGTAGGGTTAATGTCTTTTGTTTCAATAATGTATGGAAGTGTTGTGTTGGTTGTATGTTTAATGTAATGGTTATCTTATTTTGAGTTGGATGTCTGAATGCATGCAACTAATGCTTATGTAATGTTGGTGTTATTGTGTTTTTTGTTTTGTGTTTTGTGTAATTGGATCCTCTTTGTAATTTTAGCATCCCAAAAATCTCGATAAAAATTTTCATTTTTCATTTAGATAAAAATCCTTGTTTATATAAAAACCCAAATCACAACCATAAGTGTCAAATACAATCATTCAAAATCAGAGTGTTCAAATCAAGCAGAAATCAAACAGAAGAGGATGTGTACGATCAAGCATTTGCCTTGCCTCTAATCTCTGAAATACCTAAAGCAACAACAATCAAACTGTAAGACAAAGCTTAGTGAGTTTCCCCCAAAGTACCACACACAACCAAACAAATATACATATTGCATGTTGGGTCTACAGTCTCCCGACTGGATTATACTGAGCAAAATTTTTCATTCACTAGTTTACAACTAGTTGTCATTTATCGTCAGACCGCCACCAGATCATCGTCGGACAACCACCGGACCGTCACCGAAGAAACACCAAATCCAGTGACATTTTTCTGGTCATATTCACATCTTAACAGAACAAATATTGTAGCTCTCATTTCTTTGGTAATTTTTTTTAATACATATTATTTTATTTTTGCAGCCAAATATACAAAATTTAATTAAAAAAAAGGATTATACGTTGACAATTTCAATTCTCTCTCTTTTTAATTGTGGATTTCTTTAAAAAGTGTATGTTTATAAGAGATATTCATAGTTTAACATATTCACAGTTTAATAAACATAATAATTCACTGATATACAGTTTAACATTTCATGCACACATTCATTTTTATATAAAATACATAACGTATTACAGTTCAGTCTCAGTTTAATACATAAAATTCACAACTTAATACATTATGTTATACACTAGTTTATATATTAATAAAAATGAAACTTAAACTCTACAACCACCAACTACCTGTGCCACTATCGCAACCATCACTTCTTCCAAATTAGATATGCACACAAAATCATGGATTTACAACTTAAGTATTAGATTCATAGTTTAATAAACCAGTTAATTTACTAATTCAGTGTTGATGTAAAATAGTTATAAAAGCTAATATATTCTTACATATTTATACAACACCAAAAATAATATATTCTCTAGAAAATTAATACAAACATTCTTACATAAATCATTCATATTTTATTACAAAATTCATTAAAAATTCACAGCTTAATATGATCGATTCACAGTTTAATACAGTTAATTCACAACTTAATGTAGTTAATTCACAGTTTACTACAATCAATTCACAGTTTAATACAGTCAATTCACAACTTAATACAGTCCATTTACATTTTAATACACAAAATTTTCATTTTAATATAATAAGTTCATTGTTTAATACATAAAAAATTCTACATTCACATCCATATTCTCAACTTAAAACTTACAATTAGATCTAGAGGTTAGTGCTTCTTTTAAAGTTTATTTACACAATATTCACAATTTAAATTTTACATACTTTATTCAAAATTAGATAAAATTAGATATATATATATAATGTTTCTTCCATCTCGTATTTCAGAAGCAAACACAAAACTCATAAAAAAATTTACAACTTAATACAATTAATTCACAACTTAATACAGTCATTTCATAATTTAGTCGACATAATTCACAGCTTAATATAATAAATTCACAGTTTAATACACAAAAAATTATACATTCACAACCATATCTCGACTTAAAACATACATTTATACTTTCATATCCGGAGGTTAGTGTTTCTTTCAAAGTTTATTTATACAATATTTACGGTTGAAATTTTACATGCTTTATTCAAAAATAAAAAAAATTTATATATGTATATAATGCATTTTTCCGCTCATATTTCAGAAGCAAAAACAAAATTACATAAAAAAATTTACAGGTTAATACAGTATATTCACAACTTAATACAATCCATTTACAATTTCGATATATTAATCCAATAACTTTGATATATTAAAATTTTCTCATGGCTAATGATAATAACATTTATTTATACATCTCAAACTTTAGTTCTAATTACAATTTTTAAATAAAGCACATCCTCAAGATAAATACATACAACATATATATATATATATATATATATATATATATATATATATATATATATATAAATAAATAAGGGTTGGTTCACTTGAGATTAAAAATAACTAGAGGTCTTGAGATTCAACCTTAGCCACATATTTCTCATTTGCCGCTCTAACGTTCCAGCGTACAGGCAACAACGGGGTATGCCTAATCATAAATGATTATATGGCAGAAAGGTATAATAATATATGATTATACATGTTTATACGTATATGTCTAATCATAAATGACAGATTAAGTAATCATATATGATTATGACAGATTGTGGTAGAAGAGGTAGTGGTAGCAGAGGTGGCAGTGGTATAAGTGGCAGAGGTGGTTGTGGTGGAGTCGGTTGGTGACAGAGATGATGGTAGTGGTGGTGGCAATGGCAGTTGTGGTGGTGGGGATGGTGGCGGAGGAGAAAAGAACGAGTGGTGCTATATAATCATTTATGATTATAAAAGACCCACCGCGCCGGTACACTAGAGAGTTAGAGCGGCAGAT